AGAGAGAGAGAGAGAAGGAGGGAGAGAGAGAGAGAGAAGGAGGGAGAGAGAGAGCGAGAAGGAGGGAGAGAGAGAGAGAGAAGGAGGGAGAGAGAGGGATGTATTAACGTCCTCCCTTCTCACACACTTGCACAACAATCCTATTATAAGCTTAATTTTTTACTACAGGTAATCAGAAACCCGGTGCTACTGTATACTGTATAGGATGGTCATTAAATTTCCTTCCTGAATTTCAAGCCAAACAATGACACATGACACATGCTGTGCTTGCTTATCTGGGTAGTTAATCATGAGTACGGAAAATAAACTTTAAATTCTGTCTTCATTTACTCGCCCCCGTGTCTTTAGAAAACCGTAATATGATTTTTATGCTCCACAAAGGATAAAAAAGACACACCTTAAAGGTAGCATAATAGAGTTAGAGTGAAGGAGACCATATTCAGCAAATAACAAGTCGGCATAAAATAAAATTTCAACCTATTTAATAAATTATTGTTATAGATCTTATCCTATTATTCATCCATGCATGTCTCATTTTTCAAAACGATTTTTGACCTCGTAATTTTTAACTCAATCTTCCAGGGAAATGATACACTTCTCTCTGGTGACATACACAGGACTGCTCAAATTGTTTAGTCCACCCCTTTCTTACAGTCGACTGCAAGCTCACATTCAGATCTGCCTCCAACCAATCAACAACCGGTGGATTGAACCAAGTCCCACCCTACATTCTTTTATTTTTCAATAATCTGTTTCACTCAGATGTATGTCACAATCCGAAAGAAAAGATCTGTCGCAAACCAGGGTTATTATAGTTAACTAAAGCTAAAACCATAAAAAATGAATTTTTGAAATAAAGTTAAATATATTTTTTTCATTTTTATTTAGTTTAACTTGATGTACTAAAATAACTAAAACTGAAATAGAAATGATTAAAAACTATATTTACATTTTTGTTTTTATAAAAATGGCAAAAACGCAACCAAATTACTAAAACTATAACTAAAATGAAAATGGAAAATACAGAAAAATGTAAAATATTTTTTAAAACTATAATAGTATCTTTAATGATACTAAAATAACACTGGTCGCTACTTCCAAAACAACGCAACTTTAAAGCTTTAGAAATACTGGAATACAGTATAGTGCACATAGCGTTATGTGAGCCATTAAATGTTTATAATGCACCATGTTCATTTTTGGGGGGTGAAATAAACCTTAAGCAAGCATTTAGTGCCAAATACTTAAACACAGAAACACAACCATTGTGTTTATTTAGTATAAATGTGTGCAATGATTTGTGTATGCAAGTGACTGAGCGAATGCGTGAGTGATTAACCCGCTGTCCTCCGATGCTGTTTTCTGCAGTGTTGTTCTGTTACGTCTGGGAATCTAGCTGTACTGTGTGGAATCCAGCAGAGCACACATGCAGACATATTTCCCTTATCATCCTCACTCTATTTGTCAGCTGACCTGTTGGCAGTTACTATGGTTTCGCATTTGTAGGTTATATCTGTGCTGTTTCCATGGTTACACATATTCATCACACACACATACACTCTGCTACATGCTCAGCATCTAGTCTCCAGTGAAAGCTTTTAGCATCAGCACACTAATAACCTGTAATGGCCATACCTCTCTCTCTCTTACTGTGTGTCGGTTAAAGTGTTGCAGTATTCTCTTGATGATCGATGCTTCCCTCAACACAGAACGATGGAATGCCATGACCCTCAGCATGCTCATTCTCAACTATTGCTCTTAAAATATGATTATGTTAATAATGAAAAGGGCTATTAAGAGAGAAAACTGCTCTACAACCCAGAATGTAGAGCTGATTATGAAAAACTATGATTATGAATATATATATATATATA